TCTTTCTTTCTTTCTTTCTTTCTTTCTTTCTTTCTTTCTTTCTTTCTTTCTTTCTTTCTTTCTTTCTTTCTTTCTTTCTCTTCTCTTCTCTTCTCTTCTCTTCTCTTCTCTCTTTTTCCCTTTTTCTTTCCCTTTCTCTTTCTCCCTCTCTCTCTGTTTCTCTCATTTTCTCTTTTTCTTTCTCTCTTTCTCTTCTCTTTTTCTCTTTCTCTTTCTCTTTCTCATTCTCTCTTCTTTTTCACTTCTCTTTCTCTTTCTCTCCCCTTTGTCTTTCTTTCCCTCTTCTCTCTCTTTCCCTCTTCTCTTTTTCTCTTTTTCTTTCTCCTCTCTTTTTTTCTTTCTCTCTCTTTCTCCTCTTTGTTTCTCTTTCTCGTTCTCTCTCTCCCTCCCTCCCTCCCTCTCTCTCTCTCTCTCTTCCCAGTTTGAGTAAACGCATGTGCTTGCACAGTGTCCATCGCTTGCGAAAGAAGACAGACAGCACTTGAAAACCATGCGGGACCTCTCTCCCGACGAACCTCCCCCTTCGGGCAGCTGAGGAGGCTGGCCTGTCAATCTTCCTGCGAGCACCGTTTGATCGGCAGAGACGAGCAACCTCAGAACAAGAAGCTGTCGCTGCTTGATTTCTGCAGATCAAACACCCAGCAACAATAACCTGTCTCTCTTTTTTTTTCTTCTTTTTGAGGAGGGAAGGGGCTCGACTCTTATCGTCTTCTTACGGATCCTCTCTCTCTTGGATGTTGACGTCCATTTTGAACATTTGGAAACTTCAGAAACGGTCTCTGGAGACACTGTAGGGTGGGAAGCCCGTTCTCTGCTGTCAGCCAGTAATAGCATAACAGTATTTGAGATATTGCCTCCGTTTTTCCCCCCAAGGTTTCCGTCCCCTTCTTTGTTGCAGAACCCTCTCGTTCTATACTCCTTCATGGGAAAGAGAGTTCACGTCGTCCCACAAGAAGTCTGATTTTTCTGGGCCTCACAGCAGAATTCAAAACTCGCTTCGACGTCACAGACGCTTCATGTAAAAAAAGGCTTGGAAGAAGAGTTTGTTTCCAAGGATTTGGATAGAGGCAAAAGGTTATCTTAACGAGCAGTGAATTACAATAATTGTTTAGTTGGTTGTTGTTTTTTTCCCAAAGGCGAACAGGTGTTTCTTTTAAAGAAATCCATTTGTGTCACAATAGACTTTTTTTTCTATGTTTTGTGTCTTAGGTTCCCCGTTAAAGTGATGCCACGCGATTCCATGTCAAGTATGGGTGGGAAAGCTCTATCTAAAATATACATTGTTGAATATTTTAACTTTCTTTCCTTCCCCCCCACCCCTCCCCACTTAATCAAAAGTAAGGACAAGAGTGGAGTCCAAGAAAGTAAGAAGTTGAAGGGGTTGTATTGCTAATATGTCCACACAAGAAGTGGCAAAAGGGACACTACGTTAACTGTTGAGCCAAAATTTCCGTTTTCAGATTGGTTCTCTTTGACCTGACATTTTGATATAACCTGATGAAGCCTAGTTAAGACGAAGATAGGCTTGTTCTGAGGTGTGTTACTAGGCGGGCATGTCTCACTCTTCAAAAATCACCTCTTGGTAAATATACTCCGAATAAAATCTTTCCCAGGCTTCACGTAGTATGCAGTTGAGTGGAACATTGGAGGATTATAGACGTAAGACTATTTCCGGTCTACTGCAGCTTCAGCCAAGGCCTTCAGCCCTTGATCTTTCTACGCACAACACCCTCATCTGAGCAGAAACAGGACTTCCCAACTACTTCTTTAGCTTTATTTTCATCTGCACTGGGTGTTTCTGCCAAGGACGGCGGCCATTTTCTCCCACACAGAAAAGTTTTATGGTTTTTTTTCCCTCCCCCCCAAGTAACTTAAAAGCCTGAAGAGCAAACAAACCAGTTACACCGGCTCAGCTCGTAGCCTGGACACAGTCACAGAGTCCTACAAGAAACAGTCAAAAGAATTCAGTGGTTTCAGCTGGCAAGGGAAAAGATTGAAGGAATCCAGAAGAGAAATGGCAGAGAAGCATTTTGGGGCAAAATATTAGGGAAAACGGCTTTAAAACAAATCCATTGGGGCAGCGAAGTAGACTTTCTTTAAAACGTGCAGCTTCTTGGCTGGAAAGGTTTCAGCCGCGATCCGGCAGCCATCTTGTCAGGAGCCACGTCATTGTAAAAGGCCCAAGATGGAGTAGGAGGAAGAGTTAGAAGGGCGGCCACTAAAACTGCTTGACTGGATGTTTGACTCAGATGGGCAACTCTGTGTACATTTTCCTGTTTTAGCTCTCCCTGACATCTTTTCCCCCCCCACCACCCCTTTTCAGTTTTCTTAAACTATCATCGTAATACAAGAATCAAGAGCCTTCCTCGTTTTTTTTTAAAAAAAACTTTTGTTTGTTTTTTAATGGGTGTCCGTAACAAGCAGATCGTGAAACACTAAAGCAGACTTGGATCCAGTTAGTACACGGAAGAGAGACTGTTAGGAAATCTCAGGGTTGTAATTTAGGCTGGAAAAAGGATGGGAAAAAAAATCTGTTAATACAAGGAGGATTTAAGAAGGGAAAAAGAAAAAAATCTGGGGGATACGGACCAGTGTCTTGCGTAGTCCAGCAGTCTTTGATTCTCACAACTGACTTGATTCCAGGAAACCCATCGTACAAGCCATGAGGCCTACAAGTTGGTTTCTACTATCCCTGATCCCTGAAGCTGCTAATGTGCACGGGTATCCTGCCTCTTTGCATGGAGATTCTACTTTTCGCCTGATGGCCAAAGTTAGACATATTCAGGGACAGCAGGTAGATAACGTGACCGAATCGCTTGAATAAAGTTTGTTTTTTCGTGATCCTGGAAAGTTGGTCAAATGCCTCCTAATCCAGGTAATTCTCAATTGCTTTAATGTAGAGTCTCTGATCCTTGACAACCTGTGGACTTGCAACTCCCACAATCCCCCAGTCAGCATAACAGCCGGCTGGGGAATTTCTGGGAGTTGGAAGTTCTCACATCTGAAAAAGTTGCCAAGGGTTGGAAGACCCTGGTTTCATGGGAGCTACTCTTGGGTGTGAGATAAGAACTGGAGTTAACTAGCTTATGCATTCCTGGGAAGGTATTAGGGTTTGAATGAAAACGGGAAAAGTTATGGCGTACAAGTCACAATCCTGTTTGCTTGTATAAATTGTGACGGATTTGGGAAAGCTTGTTGGTGCACTCAACAATAAATTTTTTTTACAACTTTGAAACCTCAAGGCCTCTTCTTTTCCTTTATGACAGGTGTCAAACTCAAGGCCTGTGGGCCAGATCTGGCCCACGGGGGTGCTTAGGTCTGGCCCACGGGGGTGCTTA